TTTATTTATTTTCTTTCGTATAACAGTTGTTCTTATTATGTTCATATTGTGTTATAAATGTTATGCAGTCCAAGTTCATATATATGTCAAATTTTTGTTCGTATTTGACACAATGGTTTATATATATATAGTTCTGTTCATATGGTTCTTACATTAACAAAAATAAATTAACAAAAAAATCATAGAATTTTGATTTTGTAACTCCCAATTAATTAATGATATGGGAGTTACATAATTTTTTTTTACCTAAATACCATTTTCAACATTGTTCACTTATCTTTATGCAATTTTAAATTTAAAAAAAATAAGTTTTTATCATGATTAATCACAACCGTTTATTGAAAGATTGAATGGCCAAGATCGGTTAACAAAGTTAACACAAAAACTTTGGTTAACATTTGATCTTACCCCTATATATATATATAAAATTATGAGATGAAGAAAAATTCTCTATCTATTATCAACGATATTAGTCAATTAAAAGTGTAATAAATACAAATTTCTAAAACTACGTTGCACTTCATTTTGGGACGGAGGACATAATTTTTAGTAATTTACAATAAAAACTATACAATCGTTGATATAATGTATAATTTTGAATAGGGTGTTTATCTAAATCGCCAAACCGTCAGCACCGTACCACGATGTGGGGTTTAGAGCTTTCTTGATGCGATTTGCGGTTTGTATTTTTATCAAACCGCACTTTGTGATGCAGTTTGTGGTTTTCAATCATCAAACCGCGGTTCAAACCGCATTGCACCGCATATTTTTATATCTTTTTAAAATATATATTGTATATGCATTATCAGTGATCAATTGAAAATAACTAGTAAATTATTGATTATTTATTAATTTTTAATTTTATGTTATAGATTCCTTGACTAAGAATATAGAGATGACTTTAATTTCTAGCTTCGTTTGTAAAGTCAAAGAATCATCAAATTTATTTTAAATTTTACTTTTTAGATATATTTCGATTAATTATGGAACTTTTTACTGTATGGAATATGGACACGTCTTTATTGAATTTATTTTGATTTTATGATTTTATAAAAATTTGATCGAAATAGTGCAACCCGCATAAACCACACTGCATTTCAGTGCGGTTTTTTGCCGTTTAAGACATGCGATACGGTTTAACCCTACATCACACCAAACCAGCTAGTTTTGTTGCAAGTGAATCTAGATATTCAATTTACAAGTCGCACCATCATTGTTTGATTTTTTTTTTGATTAACCTGGATATCCAATCCGCTATACGAGCCGACTAATCCCAGGGCGACCACCTACTTTGTAGATAGCCGAAGTCACTGCATTTGAACCTCCGTGGCCACAAGGGGATTTTTATTCCTCCTTGGATTTAAACCTGTTTGGACAGGTAAGAACAATGCTGGTTTGGTTAACCGGACAACTATAACCCAAATACTGTCCTGTTGCCGTTGGGTCTTCGGTAGTTTAGTACCCAGATCCATGTACCGGAGAAACGACCAAGAGTTGAGAGAACCTTCTCGATCTCGACATCTAAGGGACCTCCAGGTACTTTTGACCTTTGGAGCCAAACTCAAACCAATCAGGCATCACCCATATGGTTATCATTGTTTGATTTGGCATGTATAATCAACAAATATGTATGAAAATTTTCCCACATTTAGCATAATTTTATAAAGTTACATACCAATATAGACACAAGGTTTAATGGGTCCCCGCTATTATTACAACTTGAAACCAAACATTAAAAAGCTACCTAAAACCAAAAATATGGTTGAACACTCATCGTAGTAGGGTTGTGTGTGTTCACTTAGAGTAGCTACGAGTTATTATAGCTTAGCGGCTTGTAGCTCTTGCTTCAAAATTGGTTGGACGTATTGATGGACGCCGTCAGCTACATCTGAGTCGTTGAACGGATCTTTAAAAGCGGCCTCGTAGAGTTTTGGATACACGTTCCCGTCATAACGCCCAAGAATTGAACTGAGGAGGTGATCGGTGTGGTTGAAAGAGTCGACCAAGGCAATTGCATTTGGACGAACCTAATGGAGGTTGTAGCTTTCATGAGTAGGTAAACACAAGAACATTTATACGTCACACATGTCGTTGAATCTTTTACAATACGTTACATCCTCCAACCCGATCCAAATTCCAATGTTTATTTGACACGGTTAATTAAATATCTAAAATACCCTTCAATGAGAATAGGAAATCATGTAATTTATGAATCTTCTACGAGAAGGAAACGTTAAACAAGTTTCATGAGCATAACGATGTTGCAAGTAATACGAAAAAGAATATATTATCGACAACTGACCTTAGAATACAAAATTCGGAGTTGATCGTTGGCAAGTGAGGCCTGTTTGGGCGTAAGATACCCGGTTGCAAGGAAATCACCTCGATGCTTATGAAGAAGAAATAACGCATACACATAGCACAACACTTCTAACGATTGTTTAACCCCGTTTCCATGGATTTGTTGTTGCAATTTCTCGATAAATCTGCAAAAATAAGGATGTGAAAAGGGGAAGGGTGGGTATACACTAAACAAACCCAATATATACCATTTCATGAGGTATTGGTAAGATGTATGCAAAACGTTGCATATGTTTAACGAGATAGAGAAGTTGTTTGCGAGAGTGAAAATTTGACGTCATCAATGTTACATTAAATAGAATTCTTTCGAAACTTTCTTATATTGATCAAGGGATTTTGAAAATTTGTTATATTAAACATGAACTTTTAAAACTCTTGTTATATTAATTAATAAAACAATTATTTGCTACACTAAGGGGCCGTTTACCAAACACTTACCCGACAAGTGCTTACCGGTAAAATTTAACACTTATTATTTACTTACCGGATAAGATTTTAATCCATCAAAACGACATTGTATGCAACAATTCACCCGGTAAGCGCTTACCGTGGTAAGAGTCATCGCCATCACTTACCAGGTAAGACTCATGGTCCTTGTCTCGCTCTTACCGAGTAAGATTCTTAGTTCTTATCATATTCATCCGGTAAGGTAATGTGACTTGGTGTTCATTTATCTAAGTAAACGTTTGATAAACGACCCTAAGACAGACTTCATTTAATCTTGCTTAATTTTGCCCTTCAAATAAAACAAATAAATATATTGATAAAAAAACAATTTCACAAAACTATTAGTTGCCTTTATTCTAGAACCTGTAGGTCATCATTGGTGGTCCTATAAACAAGAAAGAAAAGAAAAATGTGAACATGTGCGCAAACAATTATTTAGGTTTTATATAATGTTTTTTTTGGAAGGTGTGCTCAAAATAAGATAAGCCGGATTGAGTTGAAATCACTAAACCAATAATCCAACCCAATCAAACAAACAAAAAAATGTGTTCATATTCGTTAAATAAACGAACATCCCAAATTAAGTGTTTCTTGAATGTTCAATTCATTTATGGCTCTGATTTTATCTTTAACCACGAGATTGAATTTTTTTTACCATCAATGGTAAAAATATTAATTGAGGAATCTTACATGCCTAAGAAAGAGGCCTTACCAGACACAATCTCCTCGTAGGTCTTTTACAGTGGACCCTATGAGCAGTGTTTGGGGAGATCTCTTTCCTTAAACGTTTAATCGTGTGGTATATGTGAATGACTATGAATATAATTGGTAGAGCTTACTTGGACACGACAATTAATTGGCAGTGAGCAAGTGACACCTCGACTAAATCAGCCGATAGTTCTGCAAAGCCTGTACCATATTGACAAAAAGATTCACATTCGATTTCATTTCGCGATATATGATTGGTATAAGACAGAAAGCAAACATTAATTCCTAAAGACACAAGTACCTTCTTCAGGATTTTCAAACATGGTTAACCGTTGAGCACAGGCAACAGCCATTCTAGCAGACCTTGACTCAAATGCTTCGACTATTGCACCCGGGTTTAGCCAGTCCTCAGCTGCAGGTCAATGAAGCCGTTAAAGATTGCAACTTTACTGTGGCAATGATTCATTGAGCATGTCCGATAACTAATGAATATGTATTTAGTTTATAAACATGAAGAAGAAAAAACAAGTTCCATATGTTCTTAAAGAAGAAAATTTACCAGTTTTGACGGTACAATTACTCTGCATCAGAGCTGCCACTCGTCTCATATAAGCTGTTGTCCCAACTGGCTGTTTGTATCCCAGCTCCGAGACTGTCTTCACAAGAAACCTCGCAACCTAGACAGTTTCACAAGAAACAGCTCCGAGACTGATTTTTAGCAGCTAAATGAGCTTAATGGGACTCCTAGCTTATTTGGTCAGTTATACATGACTGTTTGGTAATAACTTAATAATATAGAAAAGGGCTTATTCAGTAGGCTTCTAAGGGGAGCTTTATGTAGAAAGCCAAGTTTTTTCCAAGCCTGCCCCTCCTAATTAAAAAACACGCTCCTTCCATCTATAAGAAAACCCTCCCAATCTATTCAGACAAATTAATGCACACAGTCCATATAGGACTTAAATAAAAACCAACAAAATAGCCCCTAAGAAACACTAAACTGGGAGGCCCAAGGCTACAATACCACCACCCTTGGTGAAAAACTTAGTTGAGGCGAGTTTTTATCACATGACATACCTGTAGCATCATGACAACATTGTCTCCTTCATACGTACAAGCAGGCACGTAAACTGCCAATAGTTCGGGAAGCCCACTACTGACAAGGTAACCATGACCACCACATAGTTTTCGACATTCTTCAATTCCATCCTGAAACAAAATGTACAATGCAAATTAAGCCCGAATGGTGAATTCTAGCTTTAACCGAAGGATATTATATGTTTAACAAGTGCCAGGTCAATGGTCATCTTAAGAGAGCACAGAGACAACATCAAATACATACATATATATATGTATATACACACACACACTCTATATAACGATTGAACACGCACAGCTGTTGCAGCAGTTGTCAAGGATTTCAAGCCTGCAGTACATGCATGGGCCTCGGGCAATGTTGAGAAGTCATTAGCTTCTAATCTTTGCTTCACATCCGTGTACAACCATTTCAACCACTCACTAACAAATCTGAAGGCATAAGCAGAAGCCAGCAAAGGGAAGAGTCTACTTTGCTGAGTTTTATAATCAATCACCTAAACCAAAAACAAAATCTTCAAACATTTAAAGACCTGAATCAACTCAGCTAGATATTGCAATGACTCCGTACAAAAAAATGACAAAAACAAAATCACATTTTTGAATAACCTGGGTTTCGGGTCCACCATTACGTGAGCCAAATTGTCTACGAACTGCACTATATCTTGTAGCAATACAAACTGCACGAGATAATGCTTTGAAAGCATTAGCCACAATTTTTTGCCTAACATACACCATGGTACCATATATGAGCTGTCGAGGAACATCAGATTGCACAAATTTTCCTTCCTTTGTAACCTGTGACACCCTGCGTAAATTGAAGAATAACTTCAGATAGATACACAATAGATAATCAAGTTGCAACTCTTAACAATCACTGGAGAAGAGAGATGAAGGTAAATAGATATGACTGAACCTCATCAACATTTGGTTCCTTGGGATACGCACATGATCAAATCTTAAAACACCATTATCCATGGTGTTATATGCCCCATTTCCAAACTTCAGCCCAATATCACCAACCGTAATGCCAGGAACAGGTGAGTGATTTTCTAAGTTCCTCAATTGGACAATAAAGCCTTTGAGGAAACAACGATGGAAAAGTTTATTTTTCCAAAAAATGATGAAATTTTGCAAAATTGTATCGATCTAAGAATCACGGGGAATATAAAGTTAAAACATGAAAAGGTATAGTACTATACTAACCATGGACTCCATGGAATTGACCATCTAGTATGAGGCGAGCATAAACAATACCATGTGTTGACACTTTACCCATTCCACCAGGCCACCACTATTAGATGTCATGAAACACAAGAACAAAGAAAAAAATGAGCGAAGAGAACTAAAGTCAAATAAATCTCATAGACAAGCCAAATGCAACTTGGAAAAAATACCAAAAAGTAGAAAACAGAGAAAAGACCAACTAACGTGTTCCATTTCAAGCACCATAAACAATTATAAGTCCCGGATAACCATCTTGCTCACCTTGCTTGAAGTTAAAGTAGGACTGTTAATGACAAACGCATCTGATTGGGGATCAAATGTTGCAGTTGTTTCAAGACCTTGAACGTTGGACCCATGGCCAAGTTCTGTTTGTGCGTAACAACCAATAACTTGCATCTTTCGGGCCAATGGCAACCATTTCCTTTTTTGTTCCTCAGTGCCTTGTCCTTCAATAGCTGGGATGAACATTTCCTAATTAATCATAGGAACAAACGCAGGTGAGCTATACTGATACAACATATGGCACAACCTTTAACCACTTAAGCTAAAAGTGACCGTCTAACTGAAGTGATATATATATATATATATATATGATGATTTAGGAATGACAGGGAATTACCCATTGAAGATCAGTGTAAGCAGGTTCGTCAATATAATGTCGCAAGAGTGTGGCTTCTTCTTCTGAGATTAACAAAAAATGCAAAGCCAAGTGAAAATTATAGAAGCATAACACCGAGAGATCAGTCTAGAAGTCAAAGCAGCTTTGCTTCCTTACACCTGGTATCTGGATGTGTACCATCTTGCAAGCTTAAAGTAAAGGTTAATTACCAGATAGACGAAGATCAATGATCAGCTTCCATGCATGAGCAGCTTTTCTAAGAGTACTCTTGAACAGCTCTTTCCTACCAAGCATAGGCCTGCTAAACTTCTCAAAGGCCTACAAACAACAAGATGCGATATGAACACATTCTGAATATTAAACAAACTTTCTGTACTTTTTTCTATTCTCATATTAGCAAGAAGTTCATGTGCATCCGATGCAAAATACACACGATACAAATCACCTAATACCCTACCTGTTAAGTAGACAAGTTGAAAATGAAACTTTGCTTTTAAAGGAACATTGATTCAAATCACCCAGATCCTGACTTCTTTAGCCCATGTTTAGCAAACATAAGTTTTTGAGCTTATTGAAAAAGCCCGTTTGGTAAGTTATAAGCTAGCTTTCTAAAAAGCCACTTGAGATAGCTTATTGGGGGCTTTTTTTTTCCATTTTTTCCCCAATTATACCCTTTTATCTTAGACTTGAGTAAATTTTCAATGTTCATTTAGCTCATTTTAGCTATGTTTGTCAAAGTAGCCGATAAGCTATCTCATGGCTGAAAAAAGTAATTGTTGGCTAATAATGGTTAACCAGTTTTTACAAAACATAGCCTTAGAAGGAACATGAATCCAAGCATGCCTAATCAACTGTCTACACTTAGTTGGGGAACACATAACACAAGTAAAAATTAGATAGTCCCTGAAATGAAACAATTAAAACCCTACATTCATCTACTAATCAAATAAGTTGCAATGTAACTAAATTGAAGTGACTTCAGAATCATACAGGATCATTAGCGACGAGCTTGGCTATTCGATCAGAGACTTCAAAAGCTTCACGAGAACCAGCCCAAGCAACTTTCATGGCATCCACATCGAACTGTGCCTTATTTCTCTCATCACTCAAGTAATCCACTCCCTCCATTTCTTCTTCGGATCGAAATTGAAATCCCTAGACAACCAAAATCAAAATCATACAAGGTCAAATTGACATGAAACAAAACTTGATCAATCAATCCTCTTATAAATTGAGTTTGATGGTTAACAAAACAAAGAAATGGACACATCCGGATTTCAGAGAAATACATATTGCGATTATGATTCCCAGGACAACAAAAATAGCTTATCGCCGTATTGATTTTTCCTTTCTCTCATCCGATTGAATTCATCAACGAAGATACAATGCAGAGTTCATAATTTTGACGTGTTTGTTTTCTCCCGCCGTGGCCAGTGGGGTTATAAGCTGAACAGTGGCAAAGCCGACGGCGAATACCGGTGGGGTTAGGCCGGTTAGGTAACGGTTTCATTTTATTTTATTTTATTTTTTTGTTTTTCTATTACATTTAATTATTTATGTTTTTAGATAAAAACTAAATAAATAAGATTAAGGTTGAGATCACTTGAGACCAAAAGTTTTTCATTTGACTCGTAAGATTAATTTATGTTCATTGATCAACTTTATAAGCTAATGATCTAATGGACTAAAGTTGCACGACGGCAATTTTGTGATTATTGAGAAGCCTCGTGGCAATTTTGTGATTATGAATGTTCAGATTATAGATCTAATCCAAATGTTGAGAATTGATCTTACGGTTCTCACGAAAAACCCTGGTTCTCACATGATCCTAAGTCAATAAGGGGTTTATTTTATAAATATTTATGTTTAGGAAAAAACAAAATTAATTTATAAAGATTTTGTAAATTATATTTACAAATTATAAACTTCATTTTGACATTTTCATGATTTTCAAAGAAAAACAAGCATTCCAACACCGTTTTAAAACAATTTCCCAACCATTTTATCACCTTTTTAAAATCATTTTACAAAATTACGTCTTACAACAGTGACCTAAGGGCAACTCCAACCTTCACACAAAAAAAAAAAACACTAAAAACACCAAATACGGTTGGCCCATAAACACTTAAAAAAAATTCAACTCCAATCATACTTCAAAAAAATACTAAATTTGTGGACCCCACATTAAAATAAACCAATCAACCCCTAAATTATTAAATAAAAAATGGTTTTTAATACAAATTAATGGGTCCACTGGTTTTGCCGTTCAAGAAACCCACAACATATTTGCCGTTCAAATAAGGGATCCGGCAAAACCTAAATTCATTTGTCGGTCGATTGGAGAAGTCACAAACGGCAAATACCTAAAATTGCCGGTTGATTGGAGATGTCCTAAGAAGCAGTGACTCACAAATTTTAAGAGATAGCGTCAACTTTTCGAACGCCACAATTGGACCGTCATTGGGAGACAAATCATGTGTCCCAAAACGCCTTGAGTCGAAACTCATACCTATCAGACTAGAACTGCAATGACTTTGATATTATACTGATTTACTTGGCATAAGGCGATATCAAGGCTTTCAACATAAACTACGTAAATGTTGCTTAAACTCTCTTTTTGGTAAGATTCTAAATGGTGTGAGGTGTGGTAGAACAAAAAAATTGACACGAGGGGAGCATCAAATAAAATAAATAAAAAATAAAAATTATTTTTTCAAAAACGGCAAAAACAACGATAAGGTATTAATGAAATACCGGCCTTTACTAATTCAATAGTGATTGATTTCTTTACAACTATTAGAATTATTCTTTTTTGACATAAGTGGCTAATCATTGGTCATCAGATATTTATCCATAAATTTCAGATTAGTTAATATAAAACAAACCAGGACCAACCTTTAACAAATAACGATATATAAATGGCACTCCTGAAATCAAATCAGTTAAAATTATGAACTGAAGTCAATCAACAGCTTAAGAACAAAATCAGATCAACACTTCAAATATTTGAATTCATTGCAGCGAGCCATTTAGAACACTGATTCTAAGCAACTTTATATCTTATATTAAAAGTCCTGCAAAAAAATATCCAATATGCTTTAAAAAATCTTCTAACCATTAACTGAACTATATCAACTGTATTTCACACATTCCCCTTGACTTTTTTTTTCCTTACATAAAACCTTTCGAAAAATTGATATCTTACTTAGGAGCCGTTTATTAAACACTTATCAGATAAGTGTTGATCGGGTAACTTTCCTTACCTCATGCACATGGCAAAGACCGAAAATCTTATCCGGTAAAAGCAATGATAAGGGTAGAGAGTCTTACCCGGTAAGTGATGGTGAAGACTCTTATCCGGATAAGCGTTTACCGGGTAAATTGTTGTATACGATACCGTTTTAATATACTACAATCTTATCTGGTAAAATAGATTATAGTGTTGACTTCTACCGATAAGCACTTACTAGATAAGTATTTGGATAAATGACCCCTTAAAATTTAAAAAGATAAGAGTAACATATTTACCTCAAATAACTTGAAAGGTTGCACCTTTTTTTTTTTCTCTATGGTGTTTGTGTTTCCTTTGAAGTCTAAGCCAAAAGATGAAGGGTTTATATAAGACCTAAAGGGCCTACTCAAAATTTAGAGCACGCCACTACCTATTTTCAATTCATATATTATTAATTATTAATGACATGATTTAAGTCACGTAAAAATATTGGATTTATTATATTTTTAAAAAGTAAATATTATATTTTTTTAATATTTTGTTGCTGATTTCTGATGGTGATATCATACAAAATGATGATATTTTATGGAGAAAAACGTATTTAAAATTTTGTTTTAAAAATTCAGATGATGCATTAATTGTTGATATGTTTTTGGTAGTTACGTCGTCTGTGACCGAATGAACAATGAAAGAATGTTATGTGGTATTGTTTTTTTTATTAACCTGGATATCCAACCTGTTATGCGAGCCGACTAATTTCAGGGCGACCATCTGCTTCGCAGATAGCCCGGAGTTACCGCATTTGAACCTCCGTGGCCACAAGAGGATTTTTATTCCTTCTTGGATTTGAACTTGAGACCTCCTGGTGTTTTTGACCTTTGGAGCTAAGCTCAAACTAATCAGACACCACTCTTGTGGTTAATATAAACATCATCGATATATTTTCCAAATCAACATATGTTTTCGAAGTTAGCATTTAATAAAATTTAATACAAAGATGGTATATGTACAAGGTTTGGTTTAGAAAGAAAATCGTAAAAAGATGAAAAACTGAAGAAAATCCTAATAATCATTCATCTATATAGTATGCATATGAATGCTTTCTCCTGAACCTCGTTTGCATACTCTCTCTTTATATATAAAAAAAGAGATAGAAAACCATAAGGGTGGTGACTGATTGGTTTGAGCTTGGCTCCAAAGGTCAAAAGTATCAGGAGGTTCCAGGTTCAAATCCAAGGAGGAATAAAAATCCTCTTGTGGCCACGGAGGTTCAAATGCGATAACTCCAGACTATCTGCAAAGCAGGTGGCCGCACTGAGATTAGTTGGCTTGCATAGTGGGTTGGATATCCAAGTTAATCAAAAAAAAAAAAATTCAAGCTGTTGGTGTTTATTCTCATGTTTTTTTATTTTCATCATGTTTTTGTAAATCTTTCTATATCTTTTTTTTTGTTTAACCTGGATATCTAACCCGCTATGTGATCCGACTAATACCAGGACGACCACCTGCTTTGCAGATAGCCCGGAATCACCGCATTTGAACCTCCATGGCAACAAGAGGATTTTTATTTCTCATTGAATTTGAACCTGAGATCTCCAGATACTTTTGATCTTTAAAGCCAAGCTCAAACCAATCAAACACCACCCTTATATTTTTGTCACAAGGCAAATTTATAATTATGGGGAAATTTATGCCATCTTTTGAGGAGTCAAATGTTTGAATAGGGGTAAAATTGGAAAAATAACGGTTTCAATTTCCATTAGGTGAGGGTAATGATTATTTTCATCATTATCCATATTTTTAATAGGTAGTTATTTCAAAAAAAAAGATGACGACCATATAATCTTCCCTCGATTCTTTAATCATCACCCATCCACTTCAAGAATTTGAACCCCGCTTGATTACGAAACTAAGGGGCTGTTTATCAAACGCTTAACTGGGTAAACGTTTATCAAGTAATATTATCTTATCGTATAAATGGTAAAGACTAAAAATTTTACCTGGTAAGAGTGAGACAAGGACCAAGAGTCTTACCTAGTAAGCGAGGACGACGACTCTTACCATGGTAAGTGCTTACCAGATAAATTGTTGCATACGATGTCATTTTGGTAGACTAAAGTCTTACCCGGTTAGTAAATAATAGTGTTAAATTTTATCGATAAACATTTAGTGGGTAAGTATTTGGTAAACGGCCCCTAAATGAGGTTTTGGCTTCCAAGATGATGCAAAGATTGGTGAGATCGATTAAAGATCGACGACATATGGCATACGAGAGAATAATGCTTCCAATTATTAGGTGGCGTATTATATGAAGATGGTGATAAGAGCTTATAGTATCAACACCGATGTACAAGGTCAAAGATTAAGGTCAAGAAGTTTATGAGTTTGACCTCTCTAGAAGTTTCTACATAGGAGAAAACGGTGTTTTCGGCATTTTTTTTTCTAGGGATGTTAGCGGCTTCATTATCAACAATGAAAAGTTCCTTTTAACATCATGGCACCGATGTTGTGTTCTTTTCAACTTCATTCGTTTGATTTTGTAAAAAAAACTAATAGGGTTTCAATGTGATTCTAACATGTGATTGCAAGGTATTTTAGTGGTGTTCATTTGTTTTTGGATTGCTTTGAATCATATGTGATTGCATACAACTACAATGTATACGTGTTATGTTGAGTACCAGGAGGTCACATGTTCAAATCCAAGGAGGAATAAAAATTCCCTTGTGGCCACGGAGGTTCCAATGTGGTGACTCCGGGCTATCTGCAAAGCAGGTGGTCGCCCTGGGATTAGTCGGCTCGCATAACATGTTAGATATCCAGGTTAATCGAAAAAAAAGTAAATATAGATAAGTGGTGATAGATGACAAAATGGTGAATTAGGGGTGGTAATTATGTAATAAGTTAAACCAACCAAAATTT